CCTCCCGCAAGCCTGCATTAGTATCAAATAATTATAACCGATATCTACTACTGTTAGCAATATAAATAGTGTGTTGAGTTTATTATCCAAAACACTACTGGTATCGTTGTCGCAACTTGATCTTGTTGTCCGGGAGACTTAGTAGAATGCACCTAGTCCGAAGTCCTCCGCCATAGTAGTTGTCATAATTCCCGGCATCAGACCGTGGACTTGGTACATTCTTAAACGTTTCGCCGGCATCGCAGTGCCATTCTCCACATCAAGCTACGAACTTGTCAAGGAGACAAATGAAGTCAATCCCTCGACCAAAGTTTTGCCGATTGATTTCACTTGTCTCTTTGACGAGTTTGTGGCTTATTTTGGAGAATGCCAAGATTCACTGATGATGGCGACTACGATGCCGGCGAAACGTCTGAGAATGTACCAAGTCCACGGTCTGATGCCGGGAATTATAACAACTACTATGGCAGAGTACTTCGGACTAGGTGCGCTCTACTAAGTTGTCCCGACAACAAGACCAAGTTGAGAAGCGAAGTCAACCCACTTCCATATGTAATGGGGTTAAGAAAAAGAGAAGAGAATTGCCTTCGCTTGTCAATTTGTTAAATTGGAACTTTGTGCTTACGATGGCGCCTCAGCTGCGTTCTACTAAATCCCTCGGACAACAAGACCAAGTTACGACAACAACGTCAACTCACTTCTATAAATTGAAAGGAGACTACGACCATACCGGAGGCCACACTATCATGGTCTTTATATCTTCGATTAAACTACTGGTATCGTTTAAAAACTATATAGGAAGCCGAAAAAGGACTAATTTACCCTTATAGTCACGTTTACTGTCTAACATAATTAGTCTTTTTGAATCCACACTTTCACGGTTAACTTCTAAGGAGAGGCCGAAACTTCCAAACCAAGCCTTCAATCTCGTTAATTCCTCTTATGCAGAGTCGCTATCTTTTTGTTAGAAGAACCTGTCGACATATTTGTTGAGCTTGATGTGATGGCCTTGGTTTCGGTTGCCATCGCCAGGCTTGAGCCCCACCTTCGGCCACAGATGACATGCCTAGACTGGGCGACAGAACAGACTCATTCATGTTGCCGCGCTTGTGCCCTGACAGCAACAGCGTTTGTGCTTAATGGCCCTAGTGTAAGCTTGCTCTTGGATTTGTCTGTGCCGACTTCCCGCCCCCTATACACACATGGACGTGTGTAGTCAAAAATGACACACCTTGTATCTGACTGGAAAGTCGAAATGTCGTAAAAACAATGGGAATAGCAGAAAAATGCATTAAGCCCTGCAATAAAAGCAAAACTTTACTACTTGATGTCCCCACTCGTCTTCTGCTTTTCCATATCTCTAATTACTACTACAGATGCTTTTGCCACTATCACCACTTTAACAACGATTACTATTATTTTCAGTTGAAGGTATATGTGCAAGTGTGTATAGCGAACAAGCGAACACAAGAGACTATGCATGTGTGGTTTGTGTATGTGTGCACAAATTGTCGGGGAACCGGACGCTGGATGGGCCTTTCGCGCTGCTGTGAGGTCATTTCGCGCATCACCTGAAGAGGCCAACCAGTCACGATGAAGGCGTGGCTTTGCCCAATTCGAAGGCCCCGGCTTAAAGAAGGCAGAGGTGGTGGGAGGCTGAGAGCTAGGGGCAACAACCAAGTCTGGTTGCTATGGCTGTACGCCAGGCTGTCAGCTTGGCCTCAACGTCGCGGCATCTGCGTTTCGAGGCCGTAGACTTTTCAACCTCGGCACCGCTTCTGCTCTGTTTCCTCTCAATTCTACTATCTCGCCTTTTTCTCTGGCCATCACGTCCGTTTTTAATAAGGTTTTCTTTTTATCCTCCCTTTTTCTGACTTCTTATTGCATGGACACCTTGGCCACTGCTCTTGGTACCTCTGCCTCATGCGGCCGAAGGCTGACCCGACAAGTATAGTATAGCTATTCTAATGGTATGACCCCACTGCCGGCGGTATCGACGGTCGCGGTCTGCCCAATTTACTTTTGTGCAGGACAAGACAGAACAGGACAGGATAGGAGGACCGACTAAAGTGCGCAAACATGTGTAAGTCATTCGTGTGTTAGTGGAAAAGTAAATAGACACATTAACACAAACAAGTTTTATAATTGCAGACAAGCTTTGACCGATTCCGACCGAAACCAGAATAGGCCATGCCTGAGGTGGTGCAGGCCGGCGTGGTCTGGTGGGTACGTCTCTCTTGTTGGTTCCATCTACCTGTTGAAAAATACCACACACATTCACGCACATTCCTACGTATGCCCAGCATTATATGTGCAAATTTGTATTTGCACACTTACACGTCAGACCAGTATCTACTTCATACTCCAGTCTTAAATCCTAATGGTTTGTGTTTGTGCGTGTGTGCAAGCCTGTGCATGTGGACAAGAAGTATTATGTATGCGTATATGTTTGCCACTATGAGTTGAGCCGGTGTCCAACGCGTTTGGCCTGGCGGTTACCAGGCTAAAAATTGGTCAGGGTGGACGTGTCTGATTGACTAAGAAACGTTAACGTCAAAGTATGATTGTGTGTGCGCGTGTGTGTGAGTGTGTATCGGAGTAGTGGGGGGGAGGGGGATGGGCTGACAACGTGCTTCATCCGGCCTTACATCCGACTCTGATCAGAGGGACGGAAAATTGGAGGCCGGTCAGGTCGGTGAGGACAAGGCTTGATTGCCCGGTCTGAGAGCAGGAGGCAGAAGAGTTTGAGGAGTAGAGTGAAGAGAGACTGGGTTTCGAAGACTTCCTTAATATAGTCATGCTGTTTGAAAGGGTGGCTGGAAAGGATTTGTAAGTTTTCCACACAAAAATAGAGGCATATTTGCTTTGGCGTTGTGATTATTCAAAATAAATGAGTCATTTCAAGGGATTCTTAAAATTCTTTTACTAATAGGGGGAATTGTTTAGCAAAAATTAGGAGGGTTTAGTCTAGAATTAAAGAAAATATTGAAAAAAATTCTTTTTTTTAATAATAAGAGGCATGATCGAGTTTTTAATTGACGAAGGCTGAGTGATAAAGAATTAGGAAGTTTTAAATAAGAAACAAGATTGGGAGACGCCAGAACAAATTAAAAACAGGGGTTAAAGGAGATAGATTTGGAAAAAAAATGGTACAGCTTTCAGAAAATAGCATTGGATCCGACCAGTAAGGAGGATTTTTCAAGTGATATGAATTTTGCATTATAAAGTGGTAAGGAAATTATGACAATAATCAAGAGTTTTACTTACCCATTTCCCGAGAAGCCTAAAAGTGGTTGTCCTTTTGAATGGTAAGCATAATTAATGACAAAGGACCCAATAGTGCTGAGGGCAAGCAAAGGAGCAGTTATGGGAATTGATTGATTAATGTGTGCAAAAATGGTATAGGTTTTAGATGATGTCGAAACCAATAAAACCATAACTAAGGCCCCTATAGAAACTCATAAGGCAATACCAGACGAGGAACTAAAAAAGTTGAAAATTGACCCATTTCCACATAGAAGAAAAGCCGACAAATATATTTGGTCTGCACAACGTGCACAAAAAAGTAGTTCCATTAAGATTTATTGTTCTTAATAAGGGTTGTGTGATGCATTAGGTATGACAATTATTTGTAACTACTTAAAGTAATTCTTCCGGTAATGAGTGGTACACATGTTACCTTTAATGATAAATTGCTTATCTTCCTTGAAGGATCGTCTAGTTCAGGAAAAACTTTTAGCTCATAATTTACTGGCTTACGGATTTGTGAGACAACTTTGGGCTTAGTAAAATGGTAACGAGAGTCTGGAGGAAATCCATGGGTTAATGAATGTCAAATTTTTCGTTTGAAAGTAGGAAATAT